GGGGGGGAACCCTGGGTGGGGTGCATGTGGGGGGTGCCCTAGCCAGACTGGTAAGTCCTGGGAGCATCCACAGTGGAGAGAAGTTGGGCCTGGCTGCAGTGCCGCTGGAGATGGGCACTGAGGAGGGTCGGGGAGCGCCCAGCAGAACCCTGCTTGCTGGGGAGGGTGGCCCCCTCGGCCCAGTTTGCCCGGCTTTAGCACCGACGGTCCTGCATGCCGTGATGTCTTGGGCAAACTCGGTCGGTTGGGCACATAGCGCCCACCAAGACATTGGGACCCACCTCTGGCGGGTTAAGCCGGTGATATGTTGGGATTTGCGCCAGCAGGGACCAGGTTCTGAGCATTTTCCCCGACGGTAACCCCTGGTCTGGCCTTCCCTTGCAGGATCAGCTGAAACAGTGCTTCTCCAGGCGGCCCCCCGAGGCCAAGGACACCGACACCCTCGTACAGGAAGCCGACAGCCAGTATGGGACGTGGAGGGACCAGCACCAGAGCGGGGAGAGGTAGGTGGGGTGTGCAGGGCCACTGGCCACGGGGCGGCTGGTCAGGGGTCAGTGTTACTGGAGCTTGTTTTGTCTGCAATTGTAAACCATTCTTGTTGTAAAATAGAAATTTAGAAAGTATTAAAAAAATAATAATGATATGTGAAATGTCCAGAATAGGCAACTCCATAGAGACAGAAGGCAGATTAGTGGTTGGGGGGGCTGGGAGGGGCGGGTCAGGAAGGGAGATTGGGAATGACTGCTCAGCAGGTACCGGTTTCCTTTCGGGGTGATAAGATGTTCTAGAACTACATGGTAGTGATAGTGATGGTCACACAACATTGTAAACGTACTGTATCTCACTAGTGGTAAATTCTATGTCATGCGTATTTGCCACAATTTAAAAAGCATTATAAAGAAAATGAAAACACCAGTGATCTCAGCACACAGCTATTAACCTTCAGTAATGGTTTTGTCTTTCTAGAATTTTTCAATATATCTGTGTGTTTACAAATATAAGGACATATACATATTGCGTTATATACGCTGTCTGCGTTTAATGTGGCCACTGTTAACGGCCAGTAGGTCCTCGGGTGTCAGCCTGGCTCGGAGGGATGCTAGGATCGTGGCAGAAGCCTGGAGATTATCCAGTGTAGCCCGGATTCAGGAGGCAGGCAGGTCTGAGTCCCAGCTCCACCCCAGCTGGCTGTGGGACGGCCTAGCTCATTGTTATTCTCTCTCTGGGTCTCCAGTGCCCCTCTTACTGGGACCTGGGATCTCCCAGGGAGGTGGGTGCCTCATCCTGTCTCCTAGAGGCACTGCAACGCCCCCTCCTGGACAGTCCCAGGAGCTGCTGTGCTCCCAGCCCTAGCTAGCAGTGCCATCTGCTGCCACCTCGATGGTATTTCTCCTTATTTTTTGTGGATTTGGCTCAACCCCACCCCATACCCCCAAATCCTGCCTATTTCAAGTAATAAAATCATCCCAGAGCTGACAAAAAGCACCTCTGTGCTCCCGGTACACCTGGGTCGAAGGGTCTGCTTAAGGGTGCAGCTATGTGGGGGGGAAGGGTCTTTCAGGATAGACCCTCCTATCAGGGAGGTGGTGTCTGGCATGCCCACACCCCCTTCCCCAGGTAGGGCTTCCTGTGCTCTGGACTTGGGTGTCTTTTTGTGGACAGGGAGAGCCTTTTTAACCCCTAGAGTGCCAGGGAGCGCAATTGTGCTCCTCCTGTCTTTCGCCAAAAGGAGGGGGGAGGGTCTTTCAGGGTAGACCCTCCTATCAGGGAGGTGGTGTCTGGCGTGCCCACACCCCCTTCCCCAGGTAGGGCTTCCTGTGCTCTGGACTTTGGTGTCTTTTTGTGGACAGGGAGAGCCTTTTTAATGTAAGGACTTGATTTATTTATAAATTTCCTATTGTATGTGATGCCCATTATCCAAGTGGTACCTGAATATATGGTCGTGGGAAGAAATTCCAAAAGTGGAAGAGGGTCAGGGACGTGGGTTCTAGAGTCAGTTCTGCCCCTTTCGGCCAGCTGCCTCGTGTGCAAGGACTTGATTTATTCATAAATTTCCTATTGTATGTGATTCCCATTATCCAAGTGGTACCTGAATATATGGTCGTGGGAAGAAATTCCGAAAGTGGAAGAGGGTCAGGGACGTGGATTCTGGAGTCAGTTCTGCCCCTTTGGGCCAGCTGCCTCGTGTCTCTGAGCCTCAGGTTCCTCATCTTTCGTGAAGTTAATGTTTCATTTCAGGAGGTTACCTCCCATCCCACAGCTGGCCAGGTGTTCTAGAGGCATGATCAGCACCTGGCTGTGTGCCCACGGTGGTTCTCCGGGGATGTCTGTCTCCTGCTTCCTGGTGTAGAGAGCACACCCCACACCCCACTTTCTGTGCCTTCTTTACCCTGATACTCAGTCCTCGGAAACAGCCTGCATGACCATGTTCCCTTCCTTCCTTCCCTCCTTCCTCACAGCGTGGCCCCTGAGTCCCCGTCCCCGGACAGCAGTGCAGCGTCGGCGTGGAAGCAGCCCTCCAGCAGCCGCTTGTCCTCACTGTCCTCCCCCACGGAGGCCACCTCGGCCGGGGACCAGCATGACTGCCCCAGGGACCAGCGGAGCACCAGTGTGGACCGCTCCAGCACCGACCTGGAGTCCACTGACGGGACGGAGGGGCCGCCCCCGCCCGACACCTGCTCTACAAAGAAAGTAGACGACTTCTCCTTTATCGATGTAAGTCGGTACCTGGGAGCGTGTGTTGGAAACACTTATTTCTTCTTAAAGGGACACACTAGCATCTCCTGGCGAATTGCCCCTTTCCAGGGTAGAATCTGTGTGCCAGACACCCATCTGGTGGGTGCAGAGGGCACAGTCTGAGATGGGACTGACGTCTGCACGTGGCTTGGACCTGCCATACACCAGCTGTGAGTCTTGGGGCAAATGCTTTCACACCCCTGAGCCTCGGCTTCCTTATCCACGTGTAACCAGAGTGGGCTCCACAGCCTCAAATACTGTCACATGTGTTCAGATTGAAGCTGATCCTAGCCCATGCCTGTTAGGTGAGCAGGAAGTCTGACCTCTTCCCTGCCAGGTGCTCTTAGTGGGATGTATCCCTAGTGCCAGGGCGTGCAAGTCTCTCTGTAAACGGAGAGCAGTAGTTCTAAGAAGGGGAGACCCCCTCCGGTGTGGGTCCCTTGAGATACAAAGGTCTCATTCTTCTGCTTCCCTGACAGTAGGGCTGCCCTCCCACCCTCCTGAAGATGCAACATCAAAGTGATGCAGAATCTAAAGGGACCCGCTCTCCTGACAGTAAAGCCTCATGCCCTCACTCGTAGGGATGGCTGCTCAGATTCCCCCTGAGAGAGAACCCACTGCTTTGGGAGGGGGACTCCCTCTAGGGCCTCAAAGGGGATTCCCCTTCCTAAGTATAGTCAGTTGGCACCTCTGGGTAAGAACAGAGATGGGGAAAGACACAACTTCAGTCTCCACTGGGGCACCCCACTATATAAACATGGACATGGTATGGAGTATAGGGATTTCATTAGGTGATGTCTTCAGTTATTCATTCAACAAACGTGTATTGAGCTCCTGCTATGTATTGAGCACTGTTCTAGCTTATGTGCTCGTATAATGTCACCAGGAGGGGAAAGGCCTTTCCATTGTGTGCCCACTATGTGCCAGGCACAGTGCCAGGGCACTCAAGCTTCATTTGATTCTTGTGATTAACCTACATGGTTTGTTTCATGGAGAAACTTCGGCTTCGGGTGTCAGGTTAGTATTAAAATGCAGAAATGCTGGCCCGTGTGCCACCTAAACAGCTTGTGCATCAGCGCAGCTTGACACACTTCTCTTGGGTGGTGCCCTCCGTGAATGGTTCCCTTGTTTTTCCTCTCTTCCTCCCTACTGCTCCCAAAGCAAACCTCAGTCCTCGACTCAAGTGCCCTCAAGACCCGGGTACAGCTCAGCAAGAGAAGCCGCCGCCGGGCTCCCATCTCCCACTCCCTCCGGCGCAGTCGAGTCAGCGAGTCAGAGAGCAGGTCTCCGCTGGAGGAGGAGGATGACACCATGTGGATGTTCAAGGACTCAACAGGTACACCCCTCGCCTCCATATATACCACAACCAACAGCAGGAAGGATGGAGGTTAAACACTAGAAGGAACTTCCTGTGAGTTGAAGGCTATAGGATATTAGAACATAATTATACAGGAAACTGTGATTTCTTATTCTGCACAGCTTATTAGAAACTAAGTGAAAAAATTCTTTTTGAGGGATGATATATTAATTGGGGCTCTGTAGGTTACAAAGGACAGAACCACAATTTAACAGGGTTTCATGATTTCTGCTTTTATCCTTATTAAATTCATCCTATACTCTCTTCAGGTTTGTTTGCTGGTCTTTTTTCTAGATTCTTCAGTTAAAAGATCAGTTGATTTATCAGTCTTACTTGGTTTCTAGTGAATTATTTTAAGGCTACACATTTTCCTCTGAGGATATCTTTGGCTGCATTTTAAAGGGCAGGTAGGGATTAGCCAGGGAAGGGTATTCCAGACAGAAATATTAACAGGACCAGAGAGGCCGAGGTGTGGAAAGAACATTCTGTGTGTGTTGCAGGTGCCTCTCTAAGTGGTTCAAGCTGGTAGTAGCAGGAATTATGCTGGAAAAGTAGGTGGGGCCAAGTCGTGGGAAGTCACGATTCTTTGCCAAGGAGTTAGGCTTTTTCTGTAGTTAGAGAGCCATGGGAGAGTTTTGAGCAAAATCTTGTAATGGAAACCATAGCAGGTGACCTCCCCACTGTACACATAGACAGCCTTCGTTCCCCACAGGCTACTGTAGGGACTTGTGTTCACTTGGCAAACAGTAGGCTGTCAGACCAGCTTGGAGCTGAGTGAGGGGTGCAGTTTCTGACCAGACACCTTAAATGCTTGGAGGGCTCTCTCTCCCTCTCCCATCTCGTGCCTGTGGAGAAGGAAGGTCAGGAGAGCAAGCCCTGAGTGTGTCCTCCTGTCAGATGGCCCAGGAATGCCCAGATGGTCAGGGCTGGTGTGAGGATTGCCCGAGGGTCTGTGTGCAGAGCATCTGGAACCCGAGCCTCAGTGCACGGGGCTGCCAGTGCCGTCAGCTCCCTTTTCTTTGCAACAGAAGAGAAATCCCCCAGGAGAGAAGAGTCCGACGAGGAGGAAAAGCGGTCCGAGAGGTCACCCAGCAGCCATCCCCAGAGGATGCCCGCGTTTCCGGGCATCGACCCGGCCATGCTCAAGGTACGGCACCTCGCACCTGGAGCCACTCACGGCCCTGGTAGCAAAAAGGACAGAAAGAGCAGGCCCCATAATTCTCCCTCCCTCCTTCCCATTGTCCTCCAAATATGGGTGAGAATCCACCCTGCCTTCTTCCTGTGGGAATCCATCAGTCCAAAAGCTTCCTCTTATTCAAATGGATGCAGGAGCGTGGAGCTGACAGAGCTGAGTTGCACCTGCAGGATGAGTTGGTGGCCCCACCTCAGGGCTACAGGCCTGGCCACCGATTTTCTTACCCCCCACCCCAGGTCAGCCAGCATCTCCCCTGCCCCAGGGCTTCCTGCCTGTGGAGGCCCCGGCATTACCGTGCAGTGGCAGTGCCGTGGGATGGGACCCTCTCCGGGCAACAGGTGGTTACAGACTCAGCTCTCTCCTCTCCCAGGCGCAGCTGCACAAGAGGCCAGAGGCGGACAGTCCCAGCGAGGCCCCTGGCTGGGCCCCCCAGCCCAAGACCCCCAAATCCCCCTTCCAGCTGGGCAGTCGTGTGCTGCCCACCAGCCTTGAAAAGGACGAGAGGTGAGGGGTCTTGGGGGTGAGTGCCCTGCCCCCCTTGGGGGTGTAATTTGGGGGAGGGCGGCTGCCTGTTGGGTTTTAGAGCTGAATGACTGAGGATAAAGGAGGAAGTGTGGGCACTGCTTGTAGACATGCTCAATAAAGGATAGTGGAGTTCTTCTTAGGGGTCCTGTTAACACAGAGAAGCTAGGGGTTATTCATGATGCTGACATTGTCATATAATAAGTGCTATGATAGAGCAGGGGCTCTCAAACTATAGGCCACAGGTCCATTTCAGCTCATTGTCTTTTTGTTTAAATAAAGTTTTATTGGCACACAGCCACACCCATTCATTTATGGGTTGTCTGCTGCTGCTTTCCTGATGCAGCTGCAGAGCTGACTGGTTCTAACAGACACCCTATAACCCCCCAAGTACATTTACAGTCTGATTCTTGATTTGACCCTGTCATAGAGGACAAACTGGTGAGCTAGACTTAAGGAAGAACGGTGTGGGAAAGGTTTCTAAGAGGAGACACCTGAGCTGAGTCATGGTGTCCACAGAGGTGGCAGCATGAGGGGTTCTGTGCTGAAGTCATGGCATGTACAAAGGCCTGGAGACCTGATAGAGCCAGGGGCCGCAAGGAGTGCGTGCTATTGGAGCACAGAGCAGGCGGCAGGGAACAGGACCCGAGGTTGAGAGGGTCACGGCCACAGCTGAGATGGTGCCTGTCCTGCTCGGGATGCCAGAGCTGCAGGCCTGGCTCCAGAGTCAGCGTCGCAGCTGGGGGAGCCCCCAGGCCAGGTCTCAGAGGTTGCAAGGAGTGCGTGTTATTGGAGCACAGAGCGGGCGGCAGGGAACAGGACCCGAGGTTGAGAGGGACAAGGCCACAGCTGAGATGGTGCCTGTCCTGCTCTGGGGATGCCAGAGCTGCAGGCCTGGCTCCAGAGTCAGCATCGCAGCTGGGGGAGCCCCCAGGCCAGGTCTCAGAGGTACCACTGGAGGCCTGGTCTTGTGCCTCCACCATCAGACAAGGCTTCCTTGGTCTGCCCAGGGAGTCTCTCCTTCCTCACAGACCTCCCACCCCCACCCCAGGCAGGTCAGGAACTTCCCTGAGCCCTCCAGGCTGAGCCCTCCAGGACCACATGGTCTGGAGCTTTCTCTGAGATCAGCATAAGTCAGGTCTTATATGTACGAGACAGACAGACAGATAGATAGATAGATAGATAGATAGATGTATATGAAGGAATTGTCTCATGATTTTGGAGGCTGACAAGACCACAATGTGCAGAGCAGGCTGGCAGGCTGGAGATCCAGGGAAGATCTGATGTTGAGTCCCAAAGTCAATCTGTTGGCAGAATTCCCTCTTCTTCGGGGAAGGTCAGTCCTTTTCTGTTAAGATCTTCAACTGATTGGGTCAGGCCCACCCATAATATGGAGGGTGACCTGCTTGACTCATAATCTACTGATTTAAATGCTCATCCCATCTAAAAGAAATACCTTCACAGAAACACCTGCAGTGATGTTTGACCATATATTTGGGTACCATAGCCTAGCCAAGTTGACACATAAAATGAACCACCACAGAATTTACCTGGGTAGAGAGATGGCAGGATAAATGGATGGAAATAATTTTATATAAGCATGATGGTATAGCTGCAGATTATTTCATAGAGTGGATGTACCAGGGTTTATTTAACATTCCCGTTGTTGGGTGCTTTGGTTAATTGCTGTTTCTTGCCTGTCAATCATGTGAGCATGGGCATGTTTGCCATCTGTGAGTGCCCTGCTCAGTGTCCACCTTGGACAGCAGATGGAGAGTTGGGTACCTCACAGCCCTGCCTGCAAGGTGCCCTCGTTCTCGCTCACACTTGACTCTCCCTGGCTTTGTGGTTTTAGATCAGAAGAGACCTCACCCCAGTGGCTAAAGGATCTGAAATCTAAGAAGAGGCAAAGCCTGTATGAGAATCAAGCTTGACCAGGTAGGAAGGGCTCTGGTGGGGGAGACCTGGACGGAGCCTGCAACTCAAGGGATAGGGAACGTGGGTGGTGAGAAGGCATAGGTTCAGAGATGTGGGATGTTGTGCCCTAGGAGGGAGAAGGAAAACTGTGGGTGTGGGTGTTGTGGGTCCTGTAAAGGGTGTGGCAATGCCTGCTTCCTCTTAGGGATCAGTCACAGCTGGACCACCTGGAGTGGCAGGGCTAACCCAGCCTCTGGCTGGCCCTTCTCCTGCATCTCCGTCCCCTTTTATAACATGAGGAACAGGACATCGAAGATCAGCTAAATCTGAAAGGTTCCCAATCTACATTTATATACTCCCTGTATAATTAAAAATTAATTTGGAAAAAAAAGATTAAAAAAACCCCACACGATTCGATATGGCCTGGTATAGGTCCCGAACAACTGAACACCTTGGACTTCAGTTTCCCGTCTGTAAAATGGGCTGAGAGCACCAGGTGGCCGAGTGGTCCAGGAGCTCCCTGCGATTGCACCTCCAGTGCCTCCTGTGCATCCTCAGGATGGGAGCACACGGTCCACGCCCAGAAAAGCTGGCTCTGAGAGGCACAGCACAGCAGACCTCTCTCTGCCCGCCTCCCTGCTGGGCACCCTCCGCCCCGCGTCCACAGGCGGAAACCAGAGCCCTCTGACAAGGAAGCATCTACCTCTCAGGGCCAAACCTGCCCTGCATGGATTTAATGCTGCTTAGGCTCTCTCCCCTCTTTCTGTGAACATCCATACGTGACGCTGCGGGCATACTGTGTGCTTGCTTATGGGTGTTGCATATATTACACAATATTTACATATTTATATTTAGAAATAAGCATATATGGGTATGTATTTGTGTATCATAAACTCCAAAAAGAATTCTAAATTCTTCAGTGAAGCTGTGCTCCGGGGTTTGGATGAGGGATGGAGCCTGTTTGTGTGTTTCGAGCTGTGTGGGTGATGTCTCAGTTAGGCTCCAGTCACCCACGTGAGGACGCTGAGGCTGGAACCCCGACTTGACTCAGTGTCACCTCCATTCCACCGCATCCAGCCGCCCGCCACCTTCCTCATCCCAGGCCTTAAACAGCAACAAACCCCACGTCATCCTTCCCAGCCTGCGGCCTGCGGCGTGGCCGTCTTGTCCCAGCAAAGGTCCTGAGGCCTGAAGCTAGAGAGTAACTGGGCTCCTGTTCCCCCCACTGACAGGGCTCTCCCTTCCTCTCCAGACGGGGACACCGCCACGTCTCATGAACAGAAGCCTTAACTGTCAGACCCCCAAGACGAGGCCGCGCTGCTGCCGTTCCCTCCTGCACAGCGGTCACCTGCCTGGGCCCCGCCTTCCGGTCAGGGCAGACGCTGTCCGGGCTCCACCCTCCGCAGGCTCTCAGGATGGACCAGATCGGACCGGATCAGGCGGAAAGGCTCCCTCTTCACGCACCTGCACGCCTCCCAGACAGCACTCCAGGCTGGGAAAGAAGCCAGGCTGCCCAGAAATGTCCATGTGGGCAGTTTTGTTGCGGTTTTTAATGTAAAAGTGCATTTCCGCCCACGTCAGCAGCAGCTCTGGGAGCACGGGTCGGTTCTGGAAAGCACCCGAACTGTGAAGCGCCTTCTCCCCTCCCAGGGCAGGTCTTCCCAAGAGGACTTTCCAGGAAAGGAGAAGCCGCTCGTTTCCTGCTGGTGTGTCCGGGCAGCACCGCGGGGCGGGCGTCCTGATTGCTTTTTGGCCAGTTCCCCTCCCTCTCGGAAGCTCAGAAGTTCCGATGTTAAGCGTCCCCTTCCTGTATTTATCCTTCCCAGGGGCCGTGCGCACAGCTGGCCTCTTTTCTTGCGTGTCACGTTTTGTTTGCTTTCGAAGGTGATGAAGCAATAATGCAGCCACTTTCCCTTGAACATGGCCGTGTATATAAGCTTTCACATTGAGGAACGGGAGGAGAGAGGCGTGGCTGCTTTGCCGGGAGTATCTGGTCATCTCAGGTTACCTTGTCCCTCTCCGAGCTTTTTGTAGACATTCTGATTGTCACTTGTGTGTCTCCCTGGTTTCTTGCCCTTGTGAGCTCTGGTTTCTGTGGAGGGACCCGTCCCTTGGCCTCCAGGGTCATACGCTGCAGCCCCTGGCAGTGCCTTTCCCACCCGTCAGACCCGCCTGGGGATTTTCCCAGCGTTGATCTCCATCACTGCCTGCGCTACGGGAAGAGCCGGTCCGCAGCGGCCTCGCTGAGCAGATGCAGGGATGAGGGGCTCTTGTGTTTCTACTCACCTCTTCCTTCTACCAACCCTCCCCCTGCATCCACCATCTTTTTAGGTCTGGCGGAAAGCCCTTCTCGGCAGGGGAGCTCCCCAGGCCAGGGACGCGGACAGAGCGCTGGGTGCTGGGTGCTGGGTGGCGGAGCGGAGGTTTACCTGCCTCTTTTTCTTGCTGTCTCTCCTCTGTCCTTCTCTTGGGGAATCCTCCACACCAGCCTCCTCCACCTGCGAAGCCCAAGGCCCCAGCAAACATCCCAGAAATGCCTGCTGGCCACCTGCCATGCCTGCAGTCGCCATAAACTTTGTGCCAACCTTCCCTGGGAGATGCCCTTTGGAGAGAGAGATGCTTGGGCAGTTCACAGGGCGGCCGGTGGTGGCCGAAGGGCCCTGGGGCTGTTTCCTCATGGACACATACACTGCATTGGCTAGATATAGACACACACACCCCAACTCCCCAAAAGGTGAAAATCTTCATAAATCCCAATATTTGCAAATGGTGTCAAAGCATACCTCCCTTCCCAGCCACCTCTCAGGAGTCTGTGTGTCTGCCCATCGCTCTTTTCGCATCATCTCCCTTTACCTCCGCTCTTCTCTTGGGGGTGGGGAGAAGGGGACAGCAGTCCTGTTTCTCTGGGGTAAGACAGCCTGTGCCCTGGGGAGCGGCTCGCTTCAGCACCGCAGACAGTGACCGGAGCGCCCTCCCTGAGTCCTGCGGGCTGAGCTTTGCTGCTTACCGATGGGCACTGGTTGGACCCCGTCGCCCACCCATCCTGTGGGTCTGGAAGCCTCGTGCATCTGCGTGTGGAGGCCTGGCCTTGCTTGATCATAGCTGTGTCCCCTTCGTTCCCTGAGTAAGTGCTTGATCCGTTCTCTGGATGTTTGGGGATGGAATTCCTCCAGGAGCTGCTGGTAGACGTTTGTTGCTCGTGCTCTATAACAGCGTTGATGTGGTGGCTCCTGGTCAGGAGGCCCCTGGGGCACTGCTAGTTCCTTCCTCGGCTGCTGCTTGCTTTGTCCTTCTGAAGGTGGGAAGGGCCCCTTGGGACCATCTCAGGCAGCAGGAAGTGGCCCATTCTGTCCAGTGAGTGTAGCGCACTCACCACGCACAACTCTCAGTTCTGTTTTAGCCCAAGTTTACCTGACAGGAAAGAAAAACACATGAAAAGGAGATCTTTTGCCTACCCTCCCCACCCCCCATGACTGGAACTAAAAGTTCAGTTGATTCCATGGTGATTAAGACACACAAAGTCCACCCCTTTCAACTGACTAGAGCAGACTCTGAACATTCTCCCAACTTCTTCCATTTCCTGCTGCCTCCTCTCTCCATGCAGAGCAGACAATCACAGTGGGTCAGGAGGGACCCTCCCTGTGCAGCCCGCCCCCCCTCCGCCTCAGGAACCCCTTGGGGTCAGTGCATCCAGGTCAGAGGGATTGACGTCTGCGCCTGTGCAGACAGCTGGGCCAATGGGGTGTGTGCTTCTCTTTCAAAACGGGGCGAGCTCTTTGGGGCAAAGCAAGGGTTTGTATTCCAGTTTCCCGAGTGGGCCTGGGGTCACCCTTGGAAATCTGTCTCCTTTACACTGAATATGCCTTAATCATCTGTATGCAGTCAAGCCCTGCCCGCCTCTCTCCTTCCTCCCCTGAGCCGGTGGCTCTCCTTAGTGAGTCTTGCACAAAAGGCCAATTGCTACGGATGCACCATCTCAGCCACCTTCCTCCCCGTTCCCTCCCTCCCTCCCCCCTCCCTCTCCACACACACCCTTTGACCCTTTGCACATCAGCATCTTCACAGATGACCTCTTGACAAGCCTGTATGTTCCCCCCAGTGGAGCCCCTTCCTCGTGGTCTCTTGTCTAAGGAGGCAGAGGCCTCTGGCCTATGAACCTCCCGGCATGGCCTCCGGCGTCAGTGCTGCGGAGGATGACTTGGTGCCACCAGAGAAATGCCGGGGCCGGGAGACCTTGCGGGGTTTGGGATGCTGGGGATGACGGCCTCAGGTGCCTAGGGTTGGGGGCCAGGACAATCAGATGGGGATGTTTTCCAGGGGGACCAGCCACACCCTGTGCTCTCGGACAAATGTGTTTTCTTCTGTGCATCCCGGGAAGTGAGGCCAGATGTTTCGAAAGAGCAAGACTAGACGAGGCCCAGGCCTGAGATCCTAAACCTCAGAGGCTGCGCAAGGGGTTTAGGAAAGCCCTTGGCGTCATTTCTCAAAGGAGCTGCCCACCTGGTGCTGAGAGCTGCCTTGTCCATTCCCGCTTTTCCATTTCCCACCGGGCACCCCGGGTTGCCCCCGGCTCCGGGCATAACTGCAAAGCTAAGTGTCCACAGGTGTGCGGGCGGGTCACCTGCAGAACGAAATGCTTTCTTAAAGGTGGAAGACAGCGTCCACCCACAGAGAGGGCTGTCCCCCTCAGCCCCTGCGGCCCCTCCCACGAAGCCCTGTCCCTTAACAGGAAGCTGGCCGCCGGCCGCCTTTGTATGAACTAGCATTCAGGGTGGGCCTGTCAGAGGGGGAGGGGGGAGGAAAGCGCTCTGGGTGGGACCTCCCAGCCCGTCCGTGCAGCCATGGCAGGTCACTTCCCTGATGGACAGCCTGTGCCGTTCCCCCGGGAGCACCGTCTGCGAGTCGGACAGGCACCTGCGGACCATCTCTGGTGGCGTCGCGCCCGTGCAGAAATACGACGCTGTTGTCTACAGAAGAACTTGAGCCTTTTTCACGATCTCACTCCACATGGCCTTATAGATCCTGTAAATAGGGGGCTGACAAAAGTCATATATTATGTTACGGGCGACATTTTGTACGGAGCTGTTTCCTAAATCAAACCAATATTCTAGAAGTCAAGCACTTCCCACCTGATTTTGATCCTCAGATGCTTTGTAAGACGGGGGAGTGGAAATACATAGACGTAGACTGTATATTTTCCTAGCCTTTTCTTCCGGGTCCCTTCGTCAGAGCGTTGAGTCCCGACAGAGAAGGAACCCAGTTGGGTGAGTGGGAAAGTTAAGCTCCTGCCCGCTGGCATCCTCGCAGTTGCCTTAGAATTCGCCAGCCCTGGAGTTCTGCACGGGAGGAGGCAAGAGGCACTTTATCCAACCCCAGAGGGAACCTCGAATCGTGTGACTGACAATTCACCTAGAAAAAAGCCTATATTTTTAACGTCGAAACCACGGGGCTCCCTGGACTCACCGAGTATTGGACGTTGACAAGTGCTTTTATATTTTGTAACTGTAAAGAGTTTCATACGCACATCGAGAGCAGTTGGGAAGCCGGCCAACTGCCCCCAAACGAGATGACCTTTGCATGTACAAAGATGTTGCATTCAGACCATGAAAACAGAAATAAAGCTTTGGTGCAACTTGCACTGGAGAAGTCGGTGTGTCCGTGTGCGAATGAATGGGCGCCCAGGCGTGCACGCCCGCCACCCGCTGCATCCGGCTCTCGTCCGTGCTGAGCTGGGGCCAGGCAGCGGGAGGGGCTGGGGTCCTGGACACACAGCTGGTCTCCCATTCAGCGTGGGGCCGACTCCTCATTCTGCCACCTCCTGGCCGTGGGCCATCCCTGAGCCTCGGTTCTCTGCGATGGGGTGGTGATAGCGACACCAGGGCAAGAGGTTAAGGCAGTGGTTCTCCTGGGTGCCTGGAGCTCCCCAGGTGACATCTGGCAGCGACAGGACACACGTTCGGTTGTCACACGGAGGGGCGGGGGCTGCTCCGGGCATCCAGTGGGTGGAGGCTGGGTCGCTGCTCAGCATCCTACGTGCGCAGGACGGTCCCATCACAAAGAATGGGCCCATCCCGAATGGCGGCAGTGCCGAGGTGAGAACTCGGTGACAGTGCCGGTGCACAGTAGGTCCCCGGGGCCTGAGGGTCTGATGGGAGGGAGTCCTGCCCCCATGGAGGCTGCCCACCTCTGTCTTGCCCTTACACCCCTAGCAGGTGGTGACTGCACCCCAAGTTAAGGGGCCGGAACCAACTGCACTGTCCGTGATCACCCCAGGAAGGGCCTCTCGGTGTGAACTGTCCGCAGGAGGCAGGGTCCTCAGGGAACAAAGTGAGGCAGTGCCAGCAGCTCTGGGCTCTTCTCTCACCAGACTTGGGTCCTCCCTCGCCTGCAGAGGTGAGCCGGGCCTCTTTCGCCTGAAGGTGGCTGGCCTTTGAGCACAAGGGCTTCTGCGAGGAGCATTTTATGCTGGAGAAGGGGAACTACCCTCCCTGGGATGCCTGGTCCAACAGCCACCACAGCGACAGCCTCCTGTCCCTCCGGCCTCTGCACATGGTGAGTGCAGCTGCTGCCCCCTGCAGGCAGCACTGGGAAGCGGGACGTGCAGGGAGCTGGTCAGACCAGCTCATGTCACAAGCTTGGCCCAGGGCTTGGCCAGTGCAGACCAGGCCTGGGAAGAGCCCTCATCATGTCTGACCCAAATGATTGTGCTGGCTTATTAGATGGCAGGGGGTTTGGGGTGGGAGTTATTTTGGGGTGACTATCTCCTCCCTGTACCTGGAGCCCTGACCCATGCTCTGGGCCTGGGAGTAGCCACTCACGCCAAGACCTCGCCCCCAGGACGGTCCGGATCACAGGCTCCACCTGTTTGAGAGCCCTGCTTTCAGGGGCCGCAAGATGGAGATAGTGGACGACGACGTGCCCAGCCTCTGGGCTCACGGCTTTCAGGAACGGGTGGCCAGCGTCCGGGCCATCAATGGGACGTAAGGGCCCCAACCCCCACTCATGCCCCTGCCCCATCCGGCCTCCGGTCCATCACGCCTCTGACTGCAGACAGAGCTCTGTTCACTATCTCCTAGATGTTCCCTCATTCGAGCCACTGCTCCTCCATCCTTGCTCGGAGCCCGAGAGAGCGCCCTCCTGAGGCCAGTGTCCGCTCGCTTGTGCTCTCGGGCCCCCGATTCCCAGGAGGCCTTGCCTTGTAGAAAGTCTTATCTTTTTAAAAAGTCAGGCGAAGTCTGTTTCCCCTGCCTGTCCCCATCGAAGTCTTCACTCCTTTTCGGAACATCTCCCAGCCCTTGGACCGATGCTCAGATGTTTTTCCCTCTGCACAAGGGGGAAGGGGTGACATAACGGCTCTCTGGGTGTGGCCTGAGTAATGCCTGGGGAGCATGCGCATCACCTCCCCCCTTCTGGGCTCCAGAGCTGTTAATGCAATCTTAGGGTCACCTTCCCTTTGTCGGTGACCACAGCTCCCTGGTGGGCTTGTGATCTGGGGGACGAGCCTTGAAAAGTGCCACCTCTCCCTGGTAATAATTTACCCAACACTGTTCACTGAGCACCTACTGTGTGCTGAGTATGAGGGCAGTAAGAGTGACAGCTGGTGCGTGGGGGCCGGGGGGGGGCGGCTCAGGAGGGGGTTGAAAAGAATACAGCGGCCTTCAGTGACCTCAGCCTGCATATATATATTTAATATGCATAGTCAGTGTGTTCCTATATGCATAACCCAGGGCCAGTGACAATAGGGTGATGGAGGCCTGGGGCGGGGGGTGGGGGTGGGCTAGAA